ATTAAACATCAAACAAAACCATTCTTCTCAAAATATTATATTTATCTTGAACTATTTGATTTTCGATTTCTAAAATTTGCTTCATGAACTAGTTCTTTTACAGCTGCACTTATTCCACAGAGGGTTCTAATTGGCCTGTTCCAGCAGATCTGAAAGCGTGTTGGGATTCCCCTGTGTCCCATCTTAAATATGTAAATAGGCCACACGAAATTGGAGGAGTGGAGGTACTTTATACCTAACTCAATAAAATGGTATTGACAGGTACAATGTCAGCACAAGAGAATAACCAGTATCTATTATGTGCTGGAACAGATTCCAAGGACCACACACAAAAAATCAGTGATGACTCACAGTTTTTTGTCAAGAGGGTGTGACTGCCCTGTCCTATCACAGTTTACAGCGTGTGACAAATAAGATTAGTATTAACTTGTTTTGTTTATACAAAAGTGTAGTTATATGTTGATTGTGGTTCATTTCTTGTCCCCAACCACTGACTGCGGACAATGATAAATTGATAGTTTGACTGCAGTTAATACTTTCCAAGCAGTTTTGGGATAATGGACTAAATATCAAGCACATTAATATCTTGCTTTAACACAGCTTATATCAACAACTGTTCTGCATGAGATCACAATCTATTTAAACTGCAAATCTTAATATCTGCTCCTGATACAGAACACAACCCTGTCTTCAGAAAGTGACAATCCTTCAACAGAAAAAACCCACATGTTTTGGCACCATACTGAGCAGGTTGTACCAACACTTTGCTGCCCAGCAGCCACTGGTTGTGAGAGGAAACCAAAAGGTTCATGTTGTCAGGATTTTGTGACTTGGAGACTTGTGTGTCATCAAACCAGCAATAGATTATAAGATACCGGTTCTTCTGGTCCAGATTGATACAGCTGCCATCATATAGCTGACAACAGTGTCAAACAACGAACAAACAGAAAGACGAGGATAACGGGATGGGGAAGAACATGCACGTGCTGTAAATCAAATAGCTCAAAGTTACTGTTCCCAAGGGAGCGGATGAGGAGATGCTGCAGTATTGTTACAACTGCTAACATGTCTTCATATACATTTCTTTATGCATGTGAATAGAACTTTCTGCGAGGATTGGCAAAGTAGAAACACGGACATTTGGCCAAGAAGGTTAACTCAAGCTTCAAGCGCATCAATGACCTTAAATCATTCAATAATAGTCAATTCCCTACCTCTGATTTACATACCTGAACAAGGAATAAAAGAGACCTGTGTAACTGCCTCATCAGGTTATTATTTAGAAAGAAAAGATTCTGAAAAACAAACTCTCCACAAGAATGTATGATACAAGTCTACTTTCCCTTTATGTCAAGCAATATTCCTGTAGCTCCAGACGTTGGAATCATCATTATTCTGGGAGAGAGTTGACTTGCCCTTGCATGTGTCTGTGCTAAGTGCCAGTACTTTCTCTCAACACCTGGTGTCATCTTTTTTTGTATCTATAAACATGTTTTGAACATTGTTAGAATTGTACAGATGACACTTCTTGTGAGTAGGGAAATAACGTCTGTTGGCTTTATATGCAGATGTACGTAACACTTTGTCTCCAGGTGATGCATATCATGAGAGTAAGATTGCAATATGATACATGAGAACTGAGCCATATTATGGTGTCATGCCGTATCATCAATGGGGTACAACCAAGACTTGTAAAATTGGGGAAAATTAGCTTAGAAAAATCTTGCACACCACAGAAAATGTTCCTTAATGTTTTCTTAACTGACAATGAAGACTGCTTGATATACATGAATAACTTCTAAACAAGTATTTCATATCATGATATACAACAAGTTGTTGGTGAATGAGTATAGCTTTTACATAATCTAGTAATAATCACTCAATGGACAAAGAAATATGTATAGAAATTTTGTTTTATTACGAAATTCTCATATGAACATGTATTACATAAGAATGAAAGTTTTGGTCTATGTTCTCGAAGCAATCATAACACCAACATCATTGTACTCTCTTGGTCAAGACCATCCTAGAATATAGCTCAATATTCATGAGAATTCTTTTATGCATTGTTATCTCCAATATTATCTATTTACTGGAGCTGTTTTCTCCCAGTCTAGCCAAGACCGTAGAAAGATCTAAATGGTCACGATTGCTTCGGAAATAGACCTCTGGCTTCTAATCTTGCAACACAAAGAAAAAAGCTCACTCCCTATGTCTGGTAGCATCAGCAAAAGTAGAAACAGTCTCACACTCATGCCTGGCGAACGTAGATTGGCATGAATGAAGAAACTATTATTGTCATCAAAATGGCAATGAGTACATAAATATACATGGAGCCTGAAGCCTTTAGATTACCTATATTTATGTATATATTTGAATTCTCCTTTGAGAATGTATGCATAAGAAGAATAAGTATACACTTAATCTTCTTCAACTTATGGATAAAGACCAAGCCAGCTGAAAGTACTGGACCCCAGCCATTAACAGAGGTAAGGTCAGGAACAAGATGGAACGTAACTTCCAGGAATCTTTTCCTGTTGTGGAAGGTTAGTTTATCCATAATGGTACTTTGTATCATGTTTGTGCTAGCATTGACATCTCAACAAACCACAAACATGTGCAATTTGGATTACTGTCACTAGGGTCCAAACAGGAACGTATCTTTTCTCATGTCTTCCATGTCTTTTTACTGGTTGTTGGAGTTAGAAACAGAGCTATGTAGAGGGGTTGACATTAATGGCTTCAAAAATTTTAATGATTGATTTTTATTGGCAATATATTATTTGATCCTCATTTAAAAGTGTCCACAGTGCAGCTTTCAACCGTAGCTGCCATGTTATCTGAGCCAGTCTGAAGCCAGGTGTTCAAATGTTCATGTTCAGAAACATATACTGATATTTAGTAACTAAATATTGTGTTTTTGGTGCGAACGCATTCTTGTACTCTATATAGATACCAATTTTTAAACTGTCCACAGTCCATGTTTTGAGACATACTGTATATTGTGAACTGTCATTAAATTGTTCCCTTGTCAGTCTGTTTATCTAAACCATGCATTGTTTGGTCTCATTTTGTCATGGGAGGACCCCAATTCATGGGGTATTTCATTTCATTTCTCTATTCAGTCAGCGCTACCCTCAACATTCCTGTCAACAACTCCCTTTCAAGTGGACAACATCTTGAATCTTGTCACAACTGGCCTTACGTTAACTTCATTATGTTCTCTCTCCCTGTCAACTGCCCTGTCAATGGTCAAGAGGCAGACAGATACATGGTGTATATATAATAAAGACTTGGTTGTCAATATGACACCAGCTGTTATGAACATCAATGTACAAGAGACTCCATGAACTGAAGCTCACACAAAGCTGTTGCTGAAAATACCTCTGCAGAATCAAACAATATAAAGCAAAACCTGAACACTTTCATCCAAAATTCACATGTTTTCATAACTAGAATATCTCTTGCACAGTTAAGTAATGTTGCCTAGATAGGATATTTCTACTGCAGGAATCTTCACATCACAATTATTGAACTGTTCTCAGTAATTATGAACAAACAGTCAATACATATTTTAAGCTACTTTGACATAGATGTTAAATATCTTGAAATGATTTTTGAAATTGTTTGTAATAGAAGCAATACATTGCTTGTATGACTGGCCTTAAACATCAGACACAACAGAAGAAACCTGAGTACACTATCCCAAACCAACATTCTACCATTGGTCAATGTATGGAGGTGAAACTCCTGAACTTATACATTATCTTACTTAGAGTCAATTGTATGGTTGTTCATCCATATCTAGTTCAATATCAACATCTTATAATTTAAGTTTTCCCAATCTCATTTTCATTGTTACTGGAACAGAAATCCAGGCTTATTTTCTGAAAAATCTTGGGCCCACCTCCTGAAGGGAACGTCAGTCTATTTAAACATCACACTAATTGGTAATTCTTTCAATTCCTCTCCCTCCTTGTATATACATCTGTTGTCAAAGTAAGGACATGTCTGTATTTGTTTTGCATGATATCAGTCTCTCACCAAATTCAGGTTCTGAAAATTTAAATCAAAATTGTATCTGTTGTCTATTTAATAGAAATTGTTTTTGAGCAATTCTGGGATAAAAGTGGAGTTGAAGGAAACAGTTTGTCTAAACTTTGTCTTCAATAAATCAACATAATTAATCTAATAGTTGGTGAATATGTCAGTTGTGACCTGTAGTTATTCATTCTGTGATAAATTCTCCAAGAACATGTACTTGTTGGTTTAATTTTATTAAAACAAGCGATTCTGATAACATCATTGGATCATGGAAATTGGAAAATCACAATCTTTGTAGCATGCTCACATTTGTTTGCCAATAATAAGTGTAGGTAAATGAGAACGTTTGTGTTTCCCCATGAGAATATTCGGATTACATTATATGATTAGTCTCCTGGAATACCACAGCTGTACGTCGTTGAAAGTGAGACTATGTTACAGTAGGGGAGTTATTTGTAAAACGAAAACATTTCAATTAAAGATACAAACATGTTCTACTGGTAACACTATCGCGACTACATCTACAATCAATATGGTATTTGGGTAGTTAACACAGCAGCAGTCTCAATGGAAGGATTCTTTACTAAACTGATAAGCCAGCAAATAATGGTACTAGTCTACATTACGAGAAGATTCATTGGATTAGAACTCACACATGATATTAATTTAGTGACACTGCAAGGACAACAAAAGCTTGTAATTAGCACCATACAAACTATACACTGTGTTGTCAAATCTCTAACTTCTAATTTGTTAGATATATTTTCTCCAAATACTTTTACCTTTTTAAAACACAATTATGATATTATTCTATTACATAGACTTGTGGAATAACAACCGTGTAAATGTCATACAACCAAGCACATACTTATAAAGTTTATCAGCTAATCTCACCAAAAACTAGATTAATTTGAAAATATGAAAATATTCAACACATGTAGGATGGAGTCTTCTGATGAACTCATTGGATCAGCTGGGAATGAGTAGCAAGAGTGTCATGGCTGCCGGCCTTGCAGCAATATTCCAGCTAAGGCAGACATCAAACTATAACATCATTCCACCAGTGCAATGAACCAGCGCCTTAACCACTAGGCTAACTCATCTCGTTTTAGTCGGCAATATGATTACACATTCACTACTGACATTTCACTAGTGTTGGGTACCTTGATAAATTATCCATATTTAAATGCAACTATGAATTTTTCTTCTATTTTTATGCATTCCCTTATTCACCCTCAGTATTTACTACTCAAAATAATTGATAGAAAACCTGATTCTTTCATAAGGGAATGTTATCTTACTACAGACAGGGATTGTTCTGTATTAGTTTTAGCTGCCCCTCCCCCATTTTATGTAACATTTCCTTCCGATCCACCACAAAGGCAAGACATATTTTCAAGCCAACATGCTGTAGTTGGGATCAGTCTTGTTGATCTCCCAGGCCTTTTCCTTCTTGCTGTCATTTTTCATGACCTTACATTGGTGACCAGTCACTATGGCATGAGAGATTACTATGTTGATTTTTCAATACTAATCGGAAAGAATCGTATTCTTCAATTGTTTTGAGTAGTATATCTGTGTAACAACTGAAGCACATGATGTGTGACGGACACATTAAACAGTTGTCTCCTTTTTGTCCACAGTTATTTCACCATTGACTTTCAACACTGGGATTGTTTTCACACTCTGGGATTCACGCATGTCAACGGGATGTGTCCGATCATTTTTTATCGGGGGTGACCAAAATGGTCTTTGTGCAACTCCTCTTCGTGAGTTCCTGTCCATATCACAGATATTGCCTGCGCTGAGGCTATGCACATCAAGTCTCTCTGAACTCCCATTGGGCGAGCTCCTTTCACTGTACTGCCGTGGAGGAACTGGAGGAGGAGGTCCAGCATGAGGATCCCTCTTATCAAGGTTGACTTCATCTCTGGTTCTGGCACCATACAACGGCTTCACGGGCCGGAGATTTTTGTGCCATAAGTGTGTGGTAGGTTCTAACATGTTTCTTCCCAACTCCCTGTTGTCTTCTGGTGAGTGCACAGCAGCTCGGGACCGATGTGGCAACGCATACAAAGACAATACCGCTTCATCATTAGAGTCCTGACTCTGCATCTTAACTATACTAGGATCGCGCCTAATGTCATCTCCAAATAACTTTGAATCACTTGATTTGTTAGTTTCACGATCAAAACTTTGAGTTGTATTAAGGCTGCATGCATAGGAGTCGTGTTCAAAGTGTGAGGTTAAGGAATTGTCTTCATTCCAATGATCTACAGAAGACCTACTGGGAACATTGTGTCTGTCTATGTCTTCTAACATGCTGGAATGAAACTGCAACTCTCCAATGTTAGAATACAACACAGGGGATGGTAGATCTAGATCAAGTTCACGGTTGGAAAGGCATGCTGATCGTATGGTCAACTCAGTGCTCTCATTAGTAAGGTTAGCTTGATTCAGTTCATTTTCTGAACTTTCATGATTCTTTGGACAAAACAAACATGCGTAAAATCTTTGCGACACATGGGGACAAGAAGTCCTGGTTGGACGTTCATCAGCCGTAATTCCATGCAGCAGACGTACATTCTGCATGTGGTCAGGGACTTTTTCAAGGTCTTTATTCAGGTCATTTGTTGACTGGTTGCACTGCTTGTATAGAGCGTCCATTTCTGCATTTTTCTCATTGATATTTTGAGAACTTCTGAGGTCATTTTGGCTGGATTTGCCATCACGACGTCTTGGACGTGGACCGGTACGGAACAGCTCACTAAAAAGCAAAAAAAAGAGAAACAAACTGAGACAAAAGCTTACACAAAATGGGGAGTGAATGTTGAAAATATACTTTCTTTTTAAGTTTCTTTCCAATCTAAAATTTCGAAAGATGAAAATCTGTTTTCATCATTATTGGTCTGCTATTACAGATTGAAAAATAAAGTTAATTATTTGTCAAAATATAGAATTATTTAACTAATAGTCTTCTAATTTTACAATAATAACCAGGGCCTCAAGAATCACATGTTGTAAAATAATGTTTTCCTAGGAACTGTTTGCATAGAGAAATACATGCATTAGAGAACACACCTTCACCCATCATTCAAACAAAGTCAGTATGGAGGTGTTTGTTTGAAGAACTAAAACCCTTAAACACCTATAAGGACATTAAACTATCAACCATATGATTTCATAGAACATACAAAGCCCCAAATGTAAATAGTCAAACACCATTTTGAATACATGACATCACAAAACTTGTTAGATGTATATGAGAGTTTTTAGCAATATAATATTTCTGAATAAGTTTATGACATACTTAAAGATACTTTCAACATTCAAAACAAAGTGGGAAATATACAAAACAGAGGCAAATTAAATCATAAAAGATGAACAGAAGAAAATGAAAATGAATGTAATAAATCACAAATCCTACAACAGTGACTTACTGAACATCAATGTTACAACAACTGTCTAGGACAAAATGGTCAACAGTATCACCAAACAAGGTCACCAAACAGAATTACCAAACACACAACAAGCTATGACAGTGTTGCAGAGTCATTTTCAAACATAAGATAGCCCCTTGAAGTATACATCTAGTGAAATATTTGGAGAAATAACACACTCCTTCCACATGACCAGATTCTGGAGGTTAACATGTTTTGTTTACGACTTTTGCTTATTGACGTCAGTGTTTTGAGTGTTAACCAGGTTGTAAGTGTTAGACCAGTGTGTAGAATGCATAACTTCATATCAGTTGCAGCTTATTTGATGTTCAACACACAACATTTGATGTTCAACACATATCCTGTATCCCGTGATACACACAATACTGTAGACTGTGATCGTGACAACCTATATCCTGTATCACGTGATATACAACACTGTAGACTGTGATCAGTGACAACCTATAACCTGTATCGAGTGATACACACAACACTGTAGACTGTGATCAGTGACAACCTATATCCAGTATCACGTGATACACACAACACAGTAGACTGTGATCAGTGACAACCTATATCCTGTATCACGTGATATACAACACTGTAGACTGTGATCAGTGACAACCTATAACACTATAGATATACAACACTGTGATCAGTGACAACCTATAACCTGTATCACGTGATACACACAACACTGTAGACGGTGATCAGTGACAACCTATATCCAGTATCACGTGATATACACAATACTGTAGACTGTGATCGTGACAACCTATATCCAGTATCACGTGATACACACAACACTGTAGACTGTGATGATGACAACCTATATCCAGTATCACGTTATACACACAACACTGTAGACTGTGATGATGACAAACTATATCCAGTATCACGTGATACACACAACACTGTAGACTGTGATGATGACAACCTATATCCAGTATCACGTGATACACACAACACTGTAGACTGTGATCGTGACAACCTATATCCAGTATCACACAACACTGTAGACTGTGATATACACAATAACCTGTATCATGACTGTGATCTGTGATTGTGACCTATATCCAGTATCACGTGATACACACAACACTGTAGACTGTGATCAGTGACAACCTATATCCTGTATCACGTGATACACACAACACTGTAGACTGTGATCGTGACAACCTATATCCAGTATCACGTGATACACACAACACTGTAGACTGTGATCATGACAACCTATATCCAGTATCACGTGATACACACAACACTGTAGACTGTGATCGTGACAACCTATATCCAGTATCACGTGATACACACAACACTGTAGACTGTGATCAGTGACAACCTATAACCAGTATCACGTGATACACACAACACTGTAGACTGTGATCAGTGACAACCTATATCCAGTATCACGTGATACACACAACACTGTAGACTGTGATTGTGACAACCTATATCCAGTATCACGTGATACACACAAAACTGTAGACTGTGATCAGTGACAACCTATATCCAGTATCACGTGATACACACAACACTGTAGACTGTGATCAGTGACAACCTATATCCAGTATCACGTGATACACACAACACTGTAGACTGTGATCAGTGACAACCTATAACCTGTATCACGTGATACACACAACACTGTAGACTGTGATCAGTGACAAACCATATCCAGTATCACGTGATACACACAACACTGTAGACTGTGATCAGTGACAACCTATAACCTGTATCACGTGATACACACAACACTGTAGACTGTGATGATGACAACCCATATCCAGTATCAAGTGATAAACACAACACTGTATATTTACAGAACGCCGCCACATAGCTGGAATATTTGCTGAGTGTGGCACAAAACTATATTCACTCACTCACTGTTGTCACAAGGCCTGTCATACAGAGCACAAATTACATTAGCAGAATTGGATAATGTTAGACGAAAATTATATTTCCGTACTAATTTAAGAAAATGAATGGGACATTGGAAAATGCTGTTCATTGATTTTTGCTGTCAAAATTGCACATTCACATTCTCACGTCAACGATTCAGGGTAATATGCATTTCTGTTTTAAATCCTTCAGCATCTTCACAATGTTCATTTAATGCTGCATTTAAATAATAAACTGTAAAATTATCAATGAAATCAATAACCTGATGGAAAAGATTTGTTATCAAAATATAAATCACTTATAGAAAACTTCAATGTCAGATCTTCCATTCAAATTTCCTCGAGTATGAAAAATATCAATTCAAAACAAACAGATCAGTTGAAATTTATGGTCAACTTTCGTCATAAACTGAATCAAACATATTCCATCATTCCAGTTACAGTGAATGTCATATTGTGCCATGTTGTTCCTCAGCCAGCCAATTGCTGAAACCAGTGGTGCTGTCACTCACTGGGAAGACTTAATGGTCCACCTGTAGCTATCTGACAGATAATGAACTTTAGATTCATTGGTTTGTTGTTTTTATACCCATCTCAGAATGATTTAAAGTAATGTGCAGACAGCCGAGACCAGCATCGCACTCAAAACGTGGACTATTTTAAGATCTAAACTGGACTGTGCTAACTGATGCCTCAAGCCTCTGTACCTCATATGATTTAAGTTGATGACACTTCAACAATATTTCAGAAAAAAAACCCATCAATTGAGAGGTAAAGAAAAATGTTATACAAACATTTACATTAAAATGGAAAACAAAGTCTTTTTACAACCCATGTTGATCCAGTGCTAATAGTGATGCTTGAATAAGTATGGATCTTTTCCTGGTCAATACAATCCACACAAAGGTTAATCCCTGTGCTCTGGGGAAAACAGATAAAGGTCCTTTAAAGACGTGCTGTTCATCCCCAGCATTGCCTTTATGATGGAGTCAAGAAATAGCAGCCATTGGGATGGTGTTTTATCAGGTTTCAAAACATGGCTAATCTGACTGTGCATGCTGTGATATGATGTTTATATACTACCTCTGACTGTGCATGCTGTGATATGATGTTTATATATTACCTCTGACTGTGCATGTTGTGACATGATGTTTATATATTACCTCTGACTGTGCATGCTGTGATATGATGTTTATATATTACCTCTGACTGTGCATGCTGTGATATGATGTTTATATACTACCTCTGACTGTGCATGCTGTGATATGATGTTTATATACTACCTCTGACTGTGCATGCTGTTATATGATGTTTATATATTACCTCTGACTGTGTATGCTGTGATATTATGTTATACATTACATCTGACTGTGTATGCTGTGATATGATGTTTATATACTACTTCTGACTGTGTATGCTGTGATATGATGTTTATATACTACCTCTGACTGTGTATGCTGTGATATTATGTTATACATTACATCTGACTGTGTATGCTGTGATATGATGTTTATATACTACTTCTGACTGTATGCTGTGATATGATCTTTATATACTAACTCTGACTGTGTGTGCTAGGATATGTTTATAAACTACATATGACTGTACACATTGTAATATGATCTTTATATACTATATATGACTGTACACATTGTGATATGATGTTTATAAACTACATATGACTGTACACATTGTGATATGATGTTTATATACTATATATGACTGTACACATTGTGATATGATGTTTATATACTATATATGACTGTACACATTGTGATATGACGTTTATAAACTACATATGTGTACTCATTGTGATATGATGTTTATATACTACATATGACTGTACACATTGTGATATGACGTAAATAAACTACATATGTGTACACATTGTGAAATGATGTTTATAAACTACACATGTGTACACATTGTGATATGACGTTTATAAACTACATATGTGTACACATTGTGATATGATGTTTATACACTACATATGTGTGACACATTGTGATATGATGTTTATAAACTACATATGACTACATATGTGTGTACACATTGTGATATGATGTTTATAAACTACATATGTGTACACATTGTGATATGATGTTTATAAACTACATATGTGTACTCATTGTGATATGATGTTTATAAACTACATATGTGTACTCATTGTGATATGATGTTTATAAACTACATATGACTACTCATTGTGATATGATGTTTATAAACTACATATGTGTACTCATTGTGATATGATGTTTATAAACTACATATGACTGTACACATTGTGATATGATGTTTATAAACTACATATGACTGTACACATTGTGATATGATGTTTATAAACTACATATGACTGTACACATTGTGATATGATGTTTATAAACTATATATGTGTACACATTGTCATATGATGTTTATATACTACA